ATATTTTTAGTTCTGAAACAACATATTATATGCACGAATAAAACAAATATTTTCGATTCCAAATATGTACTTAACGCCCTCAGGACTGCATAATTTGCTTTAAACAAGTTAGCTTAGAATAAGTTATTAGCCTGTAATGATTGTTGAAAACATCATTTACAGATTTTTAAAATTTTTACTGATTTCTATGATACATATTTAAATTAAAAATATAATACACATATTTAAATATTTATCACACTAATTTTTTGTCTTTATTGTGTTTGTATTATAAATATTTAATTAAAAAAATTAACATCTAAAATAAATTAGAAACACTCTCTCTACACTACCGGCTGGTATTAACTCATTTAAAAAATAATTGTCAAGCATGTAAAGATAAAATATTTTGTAATATCTCAAATTATTTTGTAAGAAACTCTAAAAGTATAATATAATGATTAACTTTTTTTAAAAAATCGGCATACGATTGGTATTTTTAACATTCAGACATAGTACATTCCCCGGAAGATGGTATCACTTTTTAGTGTGGCACCATACAGGTAAAAAACAATTGACTCAATACAATTTTGGTGCCCAGTTTCCGGTGGCATCAGAGCTTTGATGATGCGAAATTGTACAATGAATTTAATTTTGCCTAGACCAGCCAAGCCAAACAGGTACTCTAGTTATCTTTAACATGCCACATAATCATACGACATGGACGCTGTTAAATTTTTGAATCATGAAAATTCACCGACCTGGGCCGGAGTCCAGCCCGCCACGTTAGGCATACAATACCAGAGCCTAACCAACTAATCCATCCTCCATGAAATAATAATAATATATTATAAATAATAATATATTATTTTAAAAATATATCAGACATAATTTAACCTTGGTTTGAGCTTTGTATAAAAAACCTCCATTGCATAAATGTAAAACTTTCTACTTAGAAAATTCTTAAATTAAAAGTATATTTTTTCATCAGTTAAATATTTTCATTACAAAGGCTGAAATAAAGAGAAAAATTGTTTAAGGTTTTATCTACCGCATTATGATTTACAGTAGTTTTCATTCATGCAATATTTTTTTTGAATCACTACATTGAAAATTACGGGATATACATAAACAAAATACTCAACTTTGGGAAATTTAATCCATTAGAGCTGATTAATTATTTAAAGATATTCAACTGTAAAATTAATTATATATACTGTTCACTTTAAAATAAATAGTCAAATCGTTTTCGAAGGTCTTCATTATACACACAAAAAAATAAGACACTTACCTTTTGACATTAACTATATATATTTTTTCGGAACAAAAATGACAAATTTCGCAATCCGCTGAAAACGCAATTTCTGCTATAAAACTATTCACCTTCCCCGTTAAAATACTCATCATAAAACCCATGCTACCTTATATGTTGAAAGAGCGGATTTAAAAGAATATTCCTGCTATGTATCATCAGACTATTTGTAAAAATGGTTTTTCTATGTAATTTTAAAGTGAGTGGTACTTATAAGTACCATCGGTAGATAAAGGGTTAAATATAAAATTTACTGATAAATAAGCTTTTTCCTTAGAGAATCCTAAACGTTCTTCAAAAATGTGTTCATATTATGTTTAGAGCTGTATGAAGTTAACTGCATTATTATAAGCTTTATTAAAATACTTCAGCATTTCTGGGCGAATTTTTGAGCCAAAGTTATGTTCTACACATTTCACATATGTTAATTTTGGAACTAGACTTTGTGAGTATATTTTTTCGTATAGTTTAATCTGTTATTTGAAAACCTAAGCCTGTATTTGACAAGTTACTTTTTTAGAATAATGCAGATAGCTGGAAAGGAGAAACATTTCGTTTTGTTTTTCTTTAAAATAGCGAGTTTCAAATTCGTAATTTGACTTTGAAATAGGAAAGTGCATTTTTAGACGCTAATCGTTTTTAATTTCAATAAATGTATTATTATTTAAAAATTTCTGTAAAATAGGTTAAGGTATCCGACTACCATGAAATCTTGATTTTTTTTAAATTGATAATTTTTTTTTAGATTTTATTCTATAGGTCATCTTATTAGCTTTACAAAAATACCAAGATTTATTTTCCATCTACGAAAACAAAAACTATCAGTCTTTTAGTAAAAGCAGATGTCATAACTTTTCATAAGATGCCAAACTTTAAAATGCGTTTTACTCGAAATGTGCTTTTACGAAAAGCTCAAACGGGGACATTGATTACTCAAAAAGTTCTTAAAATAATTTGCTGAAATTTTTTATGTGTGTTGTGACTTAACACAGAAAGTGTTTTAACCTTCAGATTTATCAATCAATATTTTATTACAAAATTTACAGTTCTTTATGTAAATATAATTACCGTTTTTTAAAAGCAATATCATATAATAACTAAGATAAAGTGTTCTAGTTTTTGTAAAAATGAAAATATCTCTTATCCTGAAGGTCATTTAAAAAAGAAATAGCAAAGTAATACATCAAAATTGATTATTTGTTCATTTACAATTCGTATAGAGTGGGCCCAGTTTATTTAATTTGTTTATCAATTTTTACCCGTTTTTTCCCTTTGTGGTAGTAATAATTTATTTTTCTCATGTTAATTTTAGTCTTTTTTCCTAATATGTACTAAATAAATCTAAAAACCATATATATATATATATATATATATATATATATATATATATATATACACTGGTGTGCAAAAATTAAGGACGAGACGGTTTTTTCAATATAACTTTGTACAAAAGCTTTCCAAATCAACACATTACGTACCGTAAGATCACCAATACGTAAGGACATGTGTAATGTAAGCAACACTTACTAAAAGAGAAATCAGAGGGATAAAAAGAAGCTTTATTGAAAAAGTAGCATGGAGCGCAATGCGACTGAAGGCCGAAACATCCCTGTGATGGGTGTCCAGCAAGAAACATCCGGTCTTTAGTAAGGGATATGATCTCCCCTGACTGCTAGGCAGGTTTCACAGCGTCTGCCCATGCTGAGAATGAGGGTGTCAATGAGTTGTTGAGGCATTGCTGCCCATTCGTCTTGCAGCGCCAATCGAAGCTCCCGAATCGTTACTGGTGATAAGGTACGAGCTGCCAAGCGTCTGCCTAGAAAATCCCATACATGCCCGATGGCATTGAGATCCGGAGATCGTGACGGCCAATCCATACGTTCAATGTCCTCACTCTCTAAGAGCTGTTCGGCAGCTACTGTGCGATGACATGGTGCATTGTCGTCCATGAAAAGGAACTGCAGACCCATAGCGCCTCTAAAAAGACGCACGTATGGAAGAAGAATTTCGTTACAATAACGGGTCCCGTTGACTGAACCTGCGTCGAAGATGTGAAGGTCTGTACGACTACCAAGCATGATGCCTCCCCAAACGAGAACACCGCGACCTCCATACCTGTCCCTTTCAATGATGTTCGAGGGATGATTGCGGCTTTCCCGCTCTCTCCAGATGAGTATGCGATGAGAATCGCTACTCAAAATGAATACTCGTCCCCATTCATTGTCTCTCCAATTCCGGTGTTCCCTGCACCACAGAGAACGCCTTATCCGATGGGCAGGCGTTAAATATACACACCGTACAGGGCGTCGTGCAAACAGACCACCACCGTGGAGTCTTCTGACCACGGTAAAACGCGATATCGGTCGTGCAGTCGCCTGTGTCGTGTGTCTAGCGATTTCTCGCACTGTCTGCCGCCTGTTTCTTCTGGCCTGTAAGACAATGTACCGGTCATCTGCGGGTGTGGTTCCTCGTGGACGACCACTACTGAACCCCCGGATAGCTGTTCCTGTAGTTTGAAATTGTCTCCAAAGTCGTGAAACAATGCTGTGAGCAATTCCGAACTCTGCAGCCACACTTGTCACACTGCGGCCTTCCTCCAACTTCTCCCAATGATTCGACCTCGGGTAAAAGCATCCAGATGTCGTCTAACAGATTGATTATTCGCCATTTCTCGCTGAGGCAGCAACTCGGTGTGATTTTAACTGCTATACGGCGTGCAATCTCTTTGCCAGAAATACTGATCTTACACCGACAACATGCTTTATACTACTCAGACACTCCCCCATTACGTCTACCTGCATATCTGCGCATGTGCTACCGTACATCACCTTACTTAATCTCCTGATTGGTCTTTCTGTCCGCTCTGCCTCTTCGTTCAGCTGATATGCTAATTTTCGACTTCGTCCTTAATTTTTGCACACCAGTGTATATATATATATAATCCATAACATAAAAATACACAGATAGTTAGAACCTAAGATAACTATACTAAACATGAAGGAATAGGCACAGTAGTACTATAACAAGATCATGGCCTTAGGAACCAACATTGCAGGTTTAAACAAGTTTTATGGCTAGCCAACCTTCACCTGTAGTTTGTCATACTATGTACAAAGAGGAAAGGAAAGAATAACATTTGGAGGAATTTAAACATTATAATAAAATCACTAAACTAATAAAATATAATTATAAAATTATAGCATACTAGAATTCACGTAATAGATTTAAATTCGATGCAAAACGTATATAGTAAGACTTACTTCGGGAGTGTATCAACTGCTTATGTTTCCCACCAAATAAAAGAGAGGGAAAACAGTTCCGCATAAAGTTAAATTATGATAGAAAAATATAAAGTTTATGCATATATGTACTTTTAAAAAATCATAAATAAATAGTGATATAAATATTGGTGTAAAATATAAATGAATCCTAGAAATATTTAAATATTATTGAATTATAAAACATGTGGCGCCATTTATTTAATTACATATATATATATATATATATCATTTAAATTTTCAATCGTTTATAAAACACTTTTTATTTATCAACTCAAGTTCGAATACATTTTTTAAAACTTATAATGGATGACACTTGATGTTAATTCAGTTTTTGATAGAGTAATTCATTAATTAAATTTAAAAATTAATAAATAGTGACAAACAAAACTAATAGTCCAACAATGTATGTAAAAAAAATTACTCGTTGTGTCCCTTTAGAGCAATGGACATCTCGTTGGACTTCAAATCCAGAGGTCGTGGGTTCGAATCCCACCAGAGATGGCCTAACATCTGAGAATGTGCTTTGTTTTTACTATACTATTTTCTTAGAATAATTAAGTTTAATTAATGAATAAATAGTAACAAACAAAAACAGTAGTTCACTATCATATATAGAGAGAGAAACTAAAATGGAAAACTGCAAGTAAAATCGCTTTCTATTTTCGACTTAATATTGTGATTCTGTCATTTGCATGCACAAATATATATTAATCATAATTATTTAATAAAAAAGTAACCAAAATAAAATTTTTTCTTTGTTGAAATAAGTAGGAATTATTTTTTAAAAAAAATTTGTATTACTTGTTTTTATAAAATTCTAATAGTCGGCTATTTTTAAAATTTTTAAAAAAATTATATAAAACGTTTTATTCAAATTCTTTAAATATTAAATAATAAAATGGATAAATAAAATGTTAAAATATATTGCTCTATGGATTTTAAATACATTATAGATAGAATTGGGAATGTAAATAGTATGATTAAGAGTGAATACTAAGCATAGGAGTAATTAAATGATTGTGGTAATGTCATTCACCATACTTATATGCTTATTATTACATTAATACTAATTGTACAATAAGATATAAAAAATGTTTTTTTAAAACAGATAAAGAAATACAAATGTTAATTATGTCAAAATATAAATTATTTTTCGAAGAACTATAATGATACAATTATGTGGAAGCTAATAACTTTTTTCTTGTGTGAGGAATTAATAAGGTTATTTAAGATGCTTTTGAATTGACTCAAAGTAAGAAAAAAATTACTTAAGGTAAAAAGAATATTTTCTAAGATAAAGGTTAAACAGCAGTAATGATTAAAGAATCTGACCAAAAGCAAAATACATCTTCTATTTTACTTCTAGACCGCGAAGCAAGCTGGCGAAGATATTAAGGGTAGCATCAAAAGCTTCCTCTTTATAAACTGCCACCATTAGAGAAACCAAAAGCTGTTACAAGAACTTATCTCAAACTGCCCCCTACTGTTTTGTATCGCCTATCTTAATGGCTATCTTTTGTAATAACGTGCAGCTAATGATACTTTATTTTAGGGGAGGTCGGTGGCATGACAGGTGTTAAAATTTCGACAGCTGCGTCGAAATAGAAAGCAATGTGACTTTATTGACAGGCCATAAAATTATTTTAGAGTTGTGATGAATACCTGAAGCTGTTTTCTGAGAAATTTTTCATTTGAATAAATCGTTTTGTTAAGCTTTTAAAAGAATAGCTTTTTGATGTATATAGAAAAATGTATGAAAAATTACATGCATGTGTTTATTTGATTTTATCTGTATTTATGTTTTTGGAGAGAAAAAATGTGTTAAAACAGTTGCTTGGATTAAAATAATGCACATGATGAAAAATATTTTTAAGCAAACACATTTACCCAAACACTTTGAGTTTATTCAGTTGTTACGAATTTTAAAGTGCGACCAAAGTACTCCGTTAATGTGAAAAAGAAAAGTACTTTTCCGTTTCACCGTCACAGACCTAGCCAAGCAGGCTTTATTGGCGACAACACACAATATACACATAGGAAAATGTTATAAATGTTAGTTCGCATTGGTTTTTCCTCTATTTTTGTCATATAAATTTTAGTTCACCTTCGTGTTTTCATCTACTGATGTAGTTAAAAAAAGATGTTATAGATTTTATAAGAAAAGGCCTCGACTTGTTTTAAAAATGTGGTGGTAAAAATTTACCAGCGAGAATATTCCGTTTGGCGTCGGCTGTATCATTTTTGGCGACTTATCGCTAGGTCCGATGAAACAGAAAAGTACCGGATTGTTTTATAGATGATGATTCTTTTCATTTTAAAAAAAAAATTCACTTTACATAAATACAAAAATTTGTTTATTACATTTACTAATAGATTGTGCAAGATCTCCCTGAACAAAATGCTTTTAGTCAATTTTAATATTTGAGAGTAATAATTAGTTCAACGATGCGTTTGAAGAGATATTATCTTTGTCTGTTGCATTATGTGGGCTGGAAATTTATTTAGACGTGGGTGGAATGTTATTGAAATCGTTATTAATTTAAATATCATTAAAGATTGCTATGTACTCAAGGGGTGAAAGGAATTGCTTGAGAACATTCCTTAATAATAATATATTATATAACCGTCATAGAAAGATATTTTCCCGTAAGAATTTTTTTATTCTATTCAAATTTTTATTCAAACTTAAATATTTAGATTTACATGTATAATATTTTATTCAGATTGATCAGTGAAAATATTATTGGTAAATTAAGTGTGGAAAATCAGTGAAGAATCTGAATATCACTGTCTGCGGAAATAATTTGCAACTAATATCATATGAGTTGGGATATTTAATTTTGAAAATATATTAAAGTAAATTAATTATTTGTTTTAAAAAAATGAACACATGCGTCGTTGATACATTTTGCTTGAATTTTAAGTCAAAAATGAATGAAATATTGTGAAATAAAAGGAAAAATGAAATATAGATGATTTTTAATAGGAATATGATCACTTACAAGTATATCGCAAATATAGTTATAAAGGAAGGTACAAAAAGAGGATAGTTAACAAATAAAAAAAACATAAAAATAAAAAATGACATGAAGAATTGTTTGAATTAAAATCGCAAAAATGAAGATAAACTTTACGTACCAACGCGGAAAAGCATTACTTTAGAAAATCGTCAGAATTTCTTTTAAAAAAATTAAATTAATGTGTAAATGGATTTTAAACCAAAAGAGAGAGTCTCAATAAAGTATAGACATATTATGAATTAACTTTATACTTAAAAACAACGTAATTCCATATTTAAAACTATTATAAATCGGAAGACACTATTGAACAACATAATGATAAGAAAAGAAACTAATTTTTCCTGATTGATGGTTCTGCAGTGATTAGAAAGGTAATAAATTTTTTCAAATATTTGTCATCTTTTCAAGTTCAATATTTTCATATGTTTAAATTAAAAAAAATTAAAAGAAAAAATATTGATTATACAATAAATCGATACTTGATTTCTTGGAAAGAAAGAGCATGGACTAGTTTTCCTAACATTTTCTCTCCAAGTCCTAACCATTTAAATGTGAAATAATAAAGAATTAGTTTAACAAGGTTTTTACTTTCATCTAGCCTTATAACTTTGCCTGACTAGTCACTAATACTTTAAAATGTTTTAGTTATTTAAATTTACTGTAATACAGATCATTTTAAATATTGATAAATTAATATTAAAATGCATTCTGTCCTCTTTCATTTTTAGTACCACCCTATGAGGGGTTTGCAAAAATTACACAATTACACAAAGAAATAAATATTACTTTAACTGGAATATATATTTTTAATTTCTGAAAAAAACATTCGCACAAAAATTAAAAACTATGTATTTTTGTAAACTAAATTGACAGATATTACTTTTACCTTTCACAGATGTTATCTTCTTGAAAGATAAAATAATTTTTACTAATGCTCAAAAATAAGATATTTTATACGTACAACTACAGTCATTTTAATGAAACTCATATGCCTTCGCTAACAAAATGAAAAAAAATTAAAACTCAATTAAATAGTAAAGCAATTTAACGGTTTTTTACCTTAGAGAATGGAATCAGGCATCTATTTAAAAGCCAAAATATTTATTTAAAAAAGATAGGAATACCATATTTAATTCTGAGTGAGCCTCCAGAGATATCAAATCTAAAAAAAACATTTCTTTTTGAGGTCCTTTTTAATTTAATTATTCATTGACAAATTAAATAAGAACGACTATATCACACAGAAAAGAGTTAACAATAAAAAAAACAATTTGTTCAGATTGCATCTCTCCTTACAAACATTCAAGTAGTAAGTTAATTTAGCTTACCTAAATAACAAAGTTTAAAAATTGAATGCATTTATTTATTTATACATGGTTTTGTCTCAGGAGATTACTTTTCAAATTATTTCGTCAGGAAAAAAAAGCCGAAACTTATTTACTTTAAGCCAGTATAATCAAAATAATTTCAATAAACAGTATGGTACTTTGCAGAGCAACGTTAATAATATGTATGAAAGAATAAATATTATATTTCAACCGTACAACGTAAAGAATATATTTATTTTCTAGATATATATATATCATCAATTTACTTATAAAACATATATATATATATATATATATATATATATATATATAGATAGATAGATATAGATATAGATGTATATATATATATATAGATAGATATAGATATAGATGTATATATATATATAGATATATAGATATAGATATATATATATATATATATATATATATATATATATATATATATGACATGTTTCGAGCCAGAATCAGGCTTAATTTCAAAAAGGAACTTTATTCAATGAATTTTTGACATCATATGACGCTAAGAGGCAGAAAGAAAAAAAGAACGCCACAGTGAAATCTAAGTGTCACTTACACCAGATGTGTGAAGTATCTCGTATTTTATATATGTATTCGAAAGTAATGCTGACATATAGAGCTGTTAAATATAATGATCTAGGATCAGAAATGTTTTTAGTGGTTAGGTCATATGTTTCGGAGAAATAATTGGGTGATTAATTTAATACTTGAATATGTAATGAAAAATAAAAGTTAAGTGCTATGTATAGAGAATTTAATTTTAAATCTAATTTAATTATATATATGTATATATATATATATACACTGCTCAAAACAATTAAAGGATATTGTAAGTTTTATATAAAATAAAGATATAAGCGAAATTTTTTTTTGCCGAAAATGGAAGAAGATAATCACAAATGCAAATTTTTCTGATTTTCAAACTGTGGAGTATGTTAATTTTGAGTTCGACGTCAAAAACGTCGCTTCAGCGGCAGCAAAAGAAATTTGACTTTCAACTGAAATGAAGACAAGGATGATCGGCATTCAGTGACTGCTTTATTTCGATGAGTACGATGTCTCAGCGAAGTCATTTAACCGATTCAGATGCTTGGAAATTTGTTGGTAATTTAAAAGGTGGCCAAACTCAAGCTGA